TCCTCAACATTCAGGACAATCCCTTCATCTTCAAGAGAGTTTGCTTTGGTCAAAGGAGGAACTAGAAGATAAACAAGCGCAGAAGCAAAAATAACAGTGACTTTCTGGCATGGTATTTCAGATAGCTCTGTACTGAAATGCTTGTGCTTCTTAGCACTCCTTGAACGTTATCACAGGTTCAGTAGCTATCACACATTTTTTGCTGACTGACCTTAAACAGTGTAATGTCATTCATCAACAAAGCACAAGAAAGACTTATTAGTGAAATATCATCTCTATACTCTTAATTTTCTTCACCTGCAAACTGTGAAGCATAGGCCCACAGGAAATGGCAGTGTTTCATGCAGGCTTGACACACCATTTCATGGAAGTCTCCGCTGTCAGGAGGTACCGCACCGAGATGCTGTTGAAAAGAAACAAGCATGCAGCACTTGAATGTTTGCTGCAAATGAACAGATTCAGCTCTAGCTTTAGATGAAGAAAAATAACTGCCAACACATTTTCAGCACAAGCATACGCTGTCCCAATAATTCTGCAACAAATATCAGCATAACAAAGACTGAAAAGTGTTTATCAGGTGTCAGGAGAAAAAAAAAAAGTCAATAAATAAACCGTTCTGTCTTTGCTTATGGGCCTCTGTTTGCAGTCCCGTATGCCTTCTGCTTCCCCAGAAATCTCAGTTCTATCTCAGTTCTAAACATTGTTTTTCTAAACACTGTCCTAAGCACAGCTTATTAAGATACCTACCACACACTTCAAGCACCTACATAACTTTATGATTCCTTCCCTGTACGTATTCTAACTTTTCCTACTGTTCACACACTGGAATTGAGAAGAACCGCGTCTCAAATCTCTCCATAAACCTCTAAGAAATGGTTAAGCAATCAAAAGCACCACCTGCTTTCTTTTGAAAAGCATTCTTACAAAGCTCACAGTATGCATCTTAATATTCTTAATAGGTACATTTATAGAAAAGAATGCTGTGGTTTAACATCTACAGCAACTATAATTGAAGCCAATCGTCCTTTTTTTTTTCTTTTTTTCCCCTTTGATCCTGTAACTTCAAACGTTTTACTTTCTAACAAGCCAGTATGGAATTTCTCCTGAAGGGAGAAGAGACTGAAGGAAGCCCTCATGCTCACAATTTAAGTGGGACACTCACCCAAGTGCTTCGCTGCTCCTGACAGATTTTCCTGAAGTCTGTAATCAGGCACCAACAGTGCCGTTTGTTCCTTGCTATTTTAAGTAACTACAGTTTAAAAGCATTCTTCTGATTGACCTACTGAGGTAGGTGATGGTATGTCTCAGCAAGAAGCTTCTTATCACTGATTCTAATTATTAGAATTTTCTAATTAATGAGACTGATACAGAAGTCATTGTTTTATTCTGCGGAAGGAACCCTGAAATCAGTAGTGCTCTTGCTAATGGCTTTTGTCTGGAGGGAAGAGCAGTGCAAGATTTAATATTCCCCTACATTAAATGAAAAGAAACATCCCAGAGCATACATAATATTCTTTAAAGAATCACAGCAAAACTTCCCAAGTAAAAATTAACATACGGACTTACCTACGCTAATTTATTTCTATGCAAATTCTGCTACTTATAGTTTCCTTACCCTTCCGTGGAACCAGTCTTCACACACTATGCACTGGATCATTTCATCTGGGATCTGGATGGATGGTCACTTTATTAGCATAAACATCAACCTTCAGAATCTTCCCCAAGCCTCACACAACAGCCCTGTGCAGAGCAAACTGCATTTCCATCCTCACCCACCCGCAGTGAGCTGCCATTAATGAGCAGTTCTAGTCAGTTCACTTCCCTGAAGTTAAAAAGCGTGTGTAATTTGTCATACTGACAAGCCTATGGAACTCTCAGTTACTATTACAAAACTTGTTTTCCCAGTAGAACAAGGCATTCTCACAGAAAAGAGCTGAAAGAGGTTAACACGGTGTTGGTATCTTTCTTCCAGTGAACAGAAAGGCATGAGCAGGCAGCTGAGCCTGAAAAGATGCTGACAGGTGACATCTGGTTTGTGTAAGAATGCCACAATCCTGACTTAGCCATCCACAATACAGTGTAATACAAACCAATTTGTCACAGAATGGTTAATTAATGATTTCTTTAAAGACACTTCTACACTTAGAAGAGATGAGTTTATATTATCCTTTTTCCTACTTAAAAAAACATATGCCTTGCTTTACTCCCTGACTTCTCTGAGTGCCAACAGAAGTGTGTGTACATAAACCCAGTACTGTTTTCACACTGCAGACAGAGGAAGAGCTCTGGCTGCCACCAAGGAAGGCCAGTGCTGCTGCAATGGGACAGACTCCTCAGGGCAGAGCCCTGTCAGAGTGCTGCTGCAGGCAGGAGGAAGCAGATTCTGCTCTCCTTTAACACGTCTGTTTGTTCCACGCTCCAAGTGGTTCTCAAGATAATGAGAAACAAATCTTCTAAGGGAGCTGTGCAACTTTATAAGGAGGAAGTAGAGACAGCTGCAACAGCATTTCATCCCAGTGCTGGTGTGCCTTCCTTGTCTGTCTTCAAGGCATAAACATATTCTACCACTAGAAAACCATGAGAATGGAACCACTTTAGACCGCACATCACAACCAAAACTAATATGGGACAGAAAGGTTTGTAAAGCAGGATCGTCGCTCTGGCGCAGCTCAAGGACCACCCTGTGCACATTCTTTCTGCTTGAACGGCAGCTATGGAGGCTCACTGCTGGATTTTGTATTTCATACCTCATCTTCAGGATCAGGGTAAGGTCTTTTGCAAGTGCAGTACAAGCCGTAGAAATTGTCATTGTATTTATTTCCTGAATTCACTTTGCCCTTTTCCTAGAAGGAAAGGAAAAACTGTTTCAGTACACAATGCAGTGAAAAACAAGACAGAACAGCTGCACAGCCTGGAATAATCCCCGTTCCTGTTCAGCGTTACTCCTAAAACCAATCATCATGCACACAGCTTGAACATCTAAACATCACCCAGAGACATCTGTGCCGTGCAGTGAGCAGAAGATGGGGCATACAAGGAATATGAGAGGTTGCTCTGAGTTAGAGACAGGCTGGTGGTCTCACTGCCAGGTAAGCTCCTCTCAAAACACAGCTGATACATGGCCAGGGAACCTCAGAACCGCACAGAGTTGCAGCCTAATGCTGCCATATGATGTTACTGCCAATGCTTTGTGCTACCATTCTGAGAAGGAAGAAGGCAATGTGAACACCCTCCTTCCATGATGTCTGTTGCATTCTCAGATGGATGCTGATGACTGTTGAAATGCTATGACTGATTTTGGACTGATTTCACACTAAGTGAGGAAGGAAGAGCCACATGACCCACTTCATTCACTCAGAGAGTAATAGTGACGCTTTAAGACTATCACAGGTTTGCTGTAGAAATCACCTGCTGTCAGCTCCTGGCTTAAAAGCTATGGCTCTGCCCTGTTTCCACCAGACCAAACAGAGCATACACACCCACTGCTGCTTCCATGTTGTGTGCTATTGTGGAAGCTGCCCCACAAGCACCTCTCTCTCACTGCCTCCCTGAAAGGTCACCAACTGCTGGACTACCTGAAGCCACCACTATGGAAGCACAGAAGAGTTCTTCACATCCAGCCTAGACCTGGTCAGACTTGTGGCTGCAGACTCACATTTCTGGCCTCACGCTGGCTGCAGGCATGGGCGAAGAGCAGGGAGATGTCTCTGCTGCTCTCTGCACGTTTGGCCCCAGGGTCTCCAAGCAGCACTGCAGCTCTCTCCCACTCACCCAACCTGCTGCTACATGCCAGCACTATGGCCAGAGGGAGGGCACTGACCTCCTGGGGCCACCGCTCTGTCTCTGCAAAACCACCCTCCAAACTCACCGGGAGCAATTTGCACTGCAGGTTTTTGAACTTGCTGTTTCCACAGTCACAGCGAAAGTTCCTGAAAAACAAAAAACCGAGCCACAGAACGGTTTGGGCTGGAAGGAACATCAAAGCCCCCCCAGTTCCCATCCCGTGCCACGGGCTGGCTGCCCCCACCACACCAGAGTCCAGCACCCTGTCCAACCCGGCCCTGAGCAGGGCTGGGGCACCCACAGCTCTCTGCGCAGCCGTGCCAGCGCCTCAGCGTGAAGAATCCCTGCCTAACACCTAAACTTGCACCTCCCTTTCAGTTTAAAGGCGCTCTCTTTTGTCCTCTCGCTATCAGACCGCGCAAAAAGTGGCTCCCCAACCCCCCTTTACCTCCCCCCCTCTTATCGGCTCCCCTCAAGTCCTGGAAGGGAAAAAAAAACGACCTCCGCACCTCAGCGCCCAGCACACCCCCTCGCGCTCAGCACGACCCCTCAGCCCCGTGCCGGTACCTCTTGGTGTAGAGCTCGAGGAGGCGGTGGGAGCCGTGGCACTCGTAGCTGCACGCCAGGCAGATGCCGGCAGGCTCGGCTCCGGGCGGCGTGCAGGTGCTGCAGGCGTACAGCGCCTGGCGCTTCACGGCGCCCTGCGGGGACACAGCGCGATAACGGGCGGCCGGCACTGGGACGGGGGTGTGAGGGAAGGGGGTCCCGCTCCCGGCCCCGCCCGCACCTGGGAGTAGCTGCACCGCTCGTGGTCGCTGCCGCCCAGCACGGCCCGCGCCTCTTTCTCCAGCTCCTCGTTCTCCGCCAGCACCTCCGCCAGGGACACCACGGGCTCCTCCCCCGCCCCCGCGCCGCCGCCGCCCCCCGGCCCGGCTCCCTCCGCCGCCGCCGCCATGGCCGCGGACGGATGCCGAGGCGGGAAGCGCGCAGCCCGAGCGGCGGGCGGCGCCACGGCGGAAGCGGAACCGGGCGGCGGGAGCGCGCGTCACAAGGCCGAGGCGCGTGGGCGAAGCGCGCCTCCCTCCTTCCCGCCATGGAGCTGGTGGCGGAGCTGCGCGCGGGCGGCGGGCGGGCGCGAGAGGTGCGCGTGCGGTGCGCGGCGGAGGCGGGCGGGGAGCCGCGCGGGGAGCTGCGTGAGCTGCGGCGCGGGCTGGGAGAGCTGCAGGAGCGAGTAGCCGAGCTGCTGGCGCCCCTCGTGCTGGAACAGCAGCGGCGCGGCGCGGCGGGCGGAGCGCCGGGCGGCGGTGAGTGGAGGCGGCGAACGGCGGCGCTGGGCTGCCGGACTTGGGAGCCGCTGAGCGCCGCGTGTCGCGTCCGGCAGGTGACGGCCTGAAGGAGGAAGAAGAGGAGGAGGAGGACGACGACGATGAAGACGAGGAGGAGAACGGCGTGGACGCGGCGCGGGCCGAGCTGCCTCCTCCAAAGCGGACGAGGGTGCAGCCGCCGTGAGGGCGGCGCCGCGGCGGATAAAGCGGTGACGGCGGAGAGCGGCGTCCGTTGCCGCCGCTGTAAGGCGCCTTAATGGCGCTGCCGTCCGCGCGGCCACGAGCAGCGCGGGTAGGCGGATAAACGTGGAACCCTTCGGCGCGGCCCTGTGCGGCCGGGCTGCAGGCAGAACAGCGATAAGCGCCTCGCGTACCGCTGCTGTCCGACGCTGCCGTCCGCACGAGCGTTTTACCCTGCTGACGCTCAGACTGGGAGACAAAGCGTCTGAATAAATTAAACACTGAACTGCCTGGCTTTATTTGAAGTGGCGCAAAAAGTTGGAAAAGGGGCCGAGTAAATAAACGTACTTCGGAGATCTTTATTAGCAGCGAAGGAAGCTGCTGATCGAAATGGCCAAGGCAGCGCTTTGTGCAAAAAAAGTGCAGCTACGCCCGCAAACGGGCCGGAATGGCTCCCGCAGGCGATCCTTGCACCGTAATGAACGTTTGCAAGCGGTGCCGGGACTGCTGCGGCTTCGGAAGCTCGCTGCTGAACACCACAGGTCTAAAGGGAAACGCACCGCCTTTCCTAGCGCGGGAGTAAACGCGGGCAATGCTGCAGTAACACAGAGCTCTTTTTTTCTGTCAGGGTGGACACAAAATGCTGCACCTGAGCTCCAGGAGAGATTGGTAGGCATTGGGTCAAGGGCAGTCACGCAGATCGTGCCTTTAAACAATCATTTGTAGCCCTTATTGCAGCCACAAAACTTACCAACAATGAAAAAGGTACCGGAGCTTCTCGGGGACTTCAGTAACCCCGAACTACGAGCTCGCTGCTGCCACGTGCTGTGCAACTCCTGAGCTGGGGAATTTCCTCAGGGCTGCCCCAAGGCAAGGAGGTACAGAAGGCTTTGGTGAGGTTTGTCTTCTTGTCAAAGCAAGTCTCCTTCACACAGGGAAGTGTGTGAAGTACACCGTACTGCGGTGTACGGCAGTCTGCTGTTACAGCAGTGGTTTGAAAAACTGCATTTGCTGGTTCAAACGGCTTTGAGCCTAAATCCACTTCAGAGTGTAAATGTTCTAAGTTTAAAAAAAAAAAAAACAGTTTAAAATCATAACTGTGATATTTATTAGGCACTGAGATGGTTTTGTGAGGGAGCAAATAAAAAGCTCACAGTTCTACTTTGCTGCCAGGAGAAACATTCTTTGTAAGCAACCCATTTTATTGCAGCTCACTTGAAGGGCTGCAGCCATACCTTCTGCTCTCCACTGGACCTGCTCTCCCACAAGAAGAGATGAAGTGGCTCAGCAGTAGTCACAGAACGTGGCAGAAGTTTTCCTGAGATGGTAAAGTACTGTCAGAAGGCAAGGCAGCTGATGACACTGCCAGCCAGGCTGCCCAGGAGCAATGCTCAAGCAGTCTGAAAAAGCTTTATCTTGTGACACAGACAATAAAAAAATGCAGAACAAGTGGCACAGAGATAAATATTAATAAGCCTTAAGGCTACTCACTTCCTCAGCAGAAAAAAAAGCTCTGAGTGACTGCTAGGCTGACAAAGGTTAATTATTTTTCCTCAGGACTTCATTACTCTGCATTCACAGCTTCTGCGTGAGAGAGCTGTTCAAGACAGAAGTCTGAACCAAATCTTCTTGAGTTAAAGAGAGCTTTTCCACCTCTAACTGAAGCTGTAGCAATTCATCTTTCCCATCCACTTGGAGGTAAGGTTGGAATGAAGAAAAGTTCTGGTATAAGCAAATCTCACATCTGGTAAGGCTACTATAACTCACAGTAGTAATGCTACTGCTATAGAAACAGACTTGCGCTACTGCCATTTACAATTAAGAACCAATTCAGAGGTATCACAGTCTTTAAAGAGATTTTATAACTTTAAGCTTAATTAGCTTGTACACTACGTCAATTTGTGTAGCAAGCCACGATCTTCTGTGAGAACAAATTAGCCTTGACACTATCTCAAAATCGTAACTGTAATCAGCTTTTACTACCTCTTTTACAAGTAAAAGCCATCTAATCACTATTTTTATAGCTTTTGCTTGCTCTCTTGGTGAGAGACTTCACCTGTTGATGTTCCACTGGTGCCAGAAATGCTGGAAGCACCAGCAGAGGAAACTTCCTTTTTCTCCCAGCGCTGTCAGCTACTAATCCCTATGCACTACATTAATAGGTCATACTGTTAATAGGTTATTGCTCCTTCCCACCTTAAGCTCAAACCTTTACAGATGTAGCACTGGCTTGAACTAGTTCACGCATCTTTCTGCAGTTAGTTGTGAAACTCACTGCTTTCAGACAGCTTTAATTAAAAAGTTCAGCGGAAAATTCTATCAACACAAACCAGCGTCTGTGAGGCACTGCTGCAGGCAGCACGTGCTCCGTATCCCGGCCACGTGGCTCTCACTTCATTTTCCGTTTTTGGTGCTTCCTCTTCTGTTGTTCTCGTCTAAATAACTAGCATTATAGCAACTTCTCAGTTAAAAAACAGCATCAAATAAAAGAAAATCCCACCGGACATCTCCATGTTATGCACAAGTAGAGAAATGGCAAAAGAATCAGTCATCCAACCAGCCCCAACAATTCAGGCTACAGCCAAGGAATTGGGACACAGAGCAAAAAGACAACACAAACAATCAACCAAATACACACTCTAAGGGATAGGAAGGACAGCAATGAGCAACAGCCACTGAATGCCAGCACTGCTATCTAAGAACAAAGGTACACAATAAAACACCATTAACATATCTCTGCATTAACAGACTTCTGTTTATAAACATTGAAAAGTTTTTTATTTTATAGATAAATAAGATGGTGATCTTTAGAGTTAAGAAACAACACAACTTAAAAGCTCTGACTCCAAAAGACAGGAGCAGTCAGAGTTTATTCTTACTCCAGCATATTAAGATGGCAGCTTCCTCCTTTTCATATTGCACTTTGAACTTAAAAACCTTCTTGTAAAGGCTACATCGTGTTTTTAGGTCCTAGCACCCCTGCTGGCATCTGAGACCACAGTCTACAAGTATCTCCAATGCAACCAATGTTTAAGGTGCTGTAACCACCACCCTTGAACACAGCAACACATTCTTTCCAAAGCAGGAAACAGATGATAATGTCCAAGATTCCCCTAAAGTTGTCAGAACTGGATTAGCATTTGTGATCGTTAGGTACTGACAATCACGTACAATCAAATAAAAAAAAAAGAAAAGATAAGTGAGAAGTTCAGTGCATAACTGTTTTGGGCCTACTGCTTTTGAAGGCCATATTTTGCAATGTTTTCACAATCAGAAGGTTACTTCCATCATGGCTCAAAAATTTAGTTACTCTAAGAAGGACAAAACACAGTCCAGTAGTCAGAAATAAATGTGACATCAAAATAGCACTGAAAAACGGTGAAATTATGGTAAGAAATGCCAATGGGATTTCAGTGTGACTGAAGAAAGCCACATTTCTTTCAAGAGCAAGAAGAGGGTATCTTACTCAGAATTCTGGGAGAGATAGTATTTGTCCTACAACAGGCTTAGAACACTCCCCAGCTTGGTAACACTTTAACTTTCACAAATGTGAAGTCTTCTTAATGCATAAGTACTCACACAATATGTTTTTGCAGGTCTGGAGAGACATTAGAATAGTACAAAATTCCAACTGTAATTTTACCAAAGGAGATTTCTAAAGAAAGAAGAAGAAAACACAAAGCTTTGTGCTTCTTATAGCCCAACGCCAGCACAAGCTGCTTTTGACACTGTAGAGAAGAAGTTTAAAGCACCTCCAGGTCTGTGCCACTCCTCACTGCCTGCCTGCTACTTGCTATTCTAGTCAATGGAGAAAAAAAATATATGATACCTCAGAGAAAAAATAGATATCTTTCTCTCTTCAATGATTTGAACATTCTTTATTCTTTGCTTCCTGCATTTCCTAAATTTATTTTTAAAATGTGTTAGGAGCACTGATGTAAGTATGAATTACTTTAAAAAAAAAGAAAAAGCAAAAAACTGTTCTAAGTGCAACATCTATAATCATCTTCTGATCTTTTTTCTTTTACATTTATCACAGAAGAATTATCTTTCCATTGATTTTACTCCAAGAAAAATGAAGGACGTAGCTTTTTTTTTTTTTTTTTTTTTTTTTTTTTGCACAGAGGAGTAAAGTCATAGAGCAGAAACTTATTTTCCCAAAGAATGTTTCAGATGGAGTGTAGCAGTTCTGCATCATTAAGGCAAAACGAGGAATACTTCCATCATGTGTCACATAGAACTCCCCCACTCAAGTCATTTTGATAGACCAATACTTTAAAAACTTTTGGAATTAAGTTTTTTTTTTTTTTTTTAATAGAAAAGAGTCACTGTTCATTGCTTAACAGTTTGAAAGAAAAGGCTCTTTCCAGCCTTCGCTCAGAACTTCGGTCCTGTGATTAGATCAGGTGTATGCAACTGCTTCAAAACAGCTACAGAAACTAGAAATTGAGTTAAGTGTCAATCAGCTGTAATCTACTGATCTGATTAGAGGCCTTCACAAATGTTTGATGACGATTGCAAATAACAGCCAAGCAGATAGGAATGATGCAATAGCCAACAGTTTTGGGGTCAGCTCTCGTACAGGAATAGAGGAACAAGAACATCTGTAAATACGGTATTAAAAAGATTATAGTCCACAGCCAAAAAGGCAAGGATAGCAGTCGTACTTTTAAGGAGTGCGTCCATGTGGTTCCCTCCTGTGGTTCCTTGGGGTGCTGCTGAATGTGCTCCAGTGCCAGTTTATTGTAAGTCTCATTGATTTCAAAGACATAATAAAAAGCTGCAGCACTTGCTAGCAAATACAACCCCACACCAATCCAGCCCATCCTCTGGCGGAAGTTCATCATTCTCCATGCTCTGCACCTGTAACAAAATGAGAAGTATGAATTCAGTGCAGTTTGGAGGAAGGGGACACAGACAACGCTTGGTTTTCATAAACTAACGTTTCATAACTTTCCGTGACGCACAAGCAAAAGCAATGCATGCACCCATTTCTACAGAGCCAAGTTTCTCTACAGCAGAGGAAAGCTGTATTCCTATGTCAGTAACAGCCTAATGGTAACTCCCATCAGAAGTTCTGACTAATTTAGAGCCTACAAGTTCTAAGAGGCTACAGGCAAGCAGTGGGTTAGCAAAACCAATGCCCTGAATTGGGGAAGTCATTTACCCCATCTGCTCTCAGTGCCTCTAGCCACAGGGTGAGAAATGCAACACTTCCCATGAGTTGAGAGATATCAGAGAACTTTGGAAAATTCTAAGATGAAAGCAGCCAGCTAGTGACATGAG